AACAATAAAGCAAAAATAAAACAATAAATTGAAAAAAAGAAAATAAAACAAAATATAATGAAATGGCAAACCAGGGGGTTTCAGTCTCAATTGTGAGGTGTAACTTGGAATAGTCTGGCCCAATTAAGCATGAGATGCGCTGACTTTTCCAGGCCACGTATGCGCTTTGGACTAAGGCTTATGGTACACCTCTGATCTATGCCCTTGATTTGATCTCCAGGACGCGTGGCTGGTTGATCTTTGAGGATGTATGGTGTGTATTATCACTGGCGCTGCATAGGAGTTGGAATTGAAAAATAACATGAAATATTGTACAGACCTGGGACTCGAACCCAGGTCATATGCCTTGCCAATGCCTTCCCTGACCAGTTGTGCCAATTAACGCGCATTAACATTAAGCATTAAACAAATAATATAAGATAAGTAACGCATATAGATGAGATTTTAGCGCGAAATTCAAAAAGAGCCAATCACTCCCTGACACGGTATCGTCTTCCTCGCGTGCCTGAAAGATAAAACATTGAGCAACGGTTTTAGACGCGTTGCCTTAAGCCAGCTACCAGAAAATAGCGAATAGGCCTATGTAGCTCATAAATTAATCGCGACCAGTGCTTCTTGTTCGTTGGAGCATGCTGATCGCAATGGTGGTGACTTTGAGTCCTAATTTTTCCTTGGGTGAAAAACCCCAATTCAAGAACTCTGAAAACCCTAAAAGTCAGTTATGGCATATTTGTATATAGTGCGTAAAAACGTAATTAAATCACATGGTAAGCATCAGAAAGCATCATTGAATAAGAATATGTAAACCAAATGTCATGGAAATGCCTTAAAATCAAGATGCGTGTATGCAATTTTGTGAGAAAATTTTGAGTTCTGTACAGCGATTCTTTGCCTTTTGATGAGTGTTATGAATTGGAATATGATCAGTGAACCACAAGGAAGCTTTTGGAATGGATTTCGTGCCTTGAATCCACCTTTAGAGTGGTTTTCAGTTTTGAACTTTTTGATGAAAATTCCAAGTTTGATATGTCTCTTTCTGCGCAGCTTAGAGTCCATCAGCATTAGGTTTGTATTCCTGGTTATGTAGTGAGCATATTAGGTTAAGAAAATTGGCCAAGATCTCTTGCAATCATTGATTTGGATATTTGATTTTTTTAAGGATCCTTTTGAATCTTTTTCATGTGTATTTTGCTCAATCATGCTCAAATTGAACCAAATCTTTCCATGTTGGGATCTGCACGAATTATAGAGGCTAAAGCATGCATGAAAAGATTTATTAGGTCAAAGTAGATATTTTTCATATATTTAAATGATTTAAATGAATTAATATTAATATAAATTCAAATAAATAAATAAAAAATGAGAAAATACTTCCCTTTTGGCCAGGTGGTCGTGCATATGCTTGGAATGATGAATCATGGAAGAAAAATGGGCCCATTAGCAAATTTAGGTCATTTGAAGTAATGTTGACTTTTCAAAATATCCAAAAATTTCCCAACTTCCAAAAGGCATAACTTGCTCAATTTTTAAGCTTTTCACATGTTCTTGGACATTTTGGAAAGGTCTTTGAGTCCTCTAACCAATGCCTTTGGTCCCATGTCATTTTGATTTACCAATCTCAAGTTATGGCCTTTGACTTAAAGTCCCTTTTTGTTGACTTTTGAAAATGACCTATAATGTTGAAATTGATAACTTTTTGTGAAAGCATTTCTTGGACTTGAAGTATGAAGATGAGTTGTAGGAAATGTCTTTCTCTTCAAAATGAGCTTTGGATGGAATTTTTCTGATAATCCATGTGAAAGTTATGCCCTGGTCAATTTCAGTTGACTTTTTCAGCTGTCCAAATAAGGAAACTTTTGCATCTTTGATGATTTCTGAGCCAAATTTTGAGAATCATGATCAAGCATTGATCAAATGATGTTTGTGGCTTCAAAATGATATGTTGACCAAAAATTTGAACTTTTGACTGTCAAATGACCATTTTGCCCCTACAGTTGACTGTAGTGCCATTTAGGGTTTTGACTGTGCAATTTTGAGCTGAATGCCTTGAAACTTGATATGAGGATACTTGACCATCTTTGTAGGCATGTGAGACTTGATTGGGCCTTTGAAAACTTCAATTTCTTGATCAGAACACAAACCCTAGTTTTGACTGTATATGAGGTCTTTGCACTGTGCCACCCTTGGGGAATTTTGTGACTTGGCTTGGCAATTTCTTGAAGAATATGGGAGGGAAAATTTTGGGGTACAACATCCGGGTACTGTTTACATTTTGGAAACACTACCAGCATACGCCCCAAATGGTAGTCAACTCAACAGAAATGGAATATTCAGTCGGTGTTTTGGGTTTTTCAACCTTGGATCACAGGGTTTGCATCATGCAAACTAATTATACAAATTGATGGGACTTGGTTGTATAGGAAATACAAAGGCACGCTACCGATGGCAGTTGCACAAGATGGCAACAACAACATTTTCCCAATTGCCTTTGCCCTAGTCGAGGGAGAGACTGATGGTGCTTGGAGCTTTTTTCTCAAGAATCTCCGAACACACATGGCTCCTCAACCAGATCTCTATTTGATCTCTAATAGACATGCATCCATTGAAAGTGAATACAACAATCCTGCAAACGGTTGACATGACCCTCATTCTACGCATGTCTATTGCATTAGACATATCGTCCAAAATTTCACGAGGGAGATCAAAGACAAAGCTCTTAGGAAAGCGGTTATGAATGCGGGATATGCATTGACATAACCTACGCTCAAATATTATCGCAACGAGATCCATTTGTCAAATTCGGACGCCGGTAGGTGGATCGATAATATTCCGGTAGAAAAATGGACTAAGTCATACGACAATGGACAAAGATGGGGTCACATGACAACAAATCTAATTGAATCCATGAACGGGGTATTCAAAGGCATACGAAACCTCCCAGTAACTGCTTTGGTTAAATCAATATATTTTAGGATGGCTTCGTTGTTTGCCAAAAGAGGTGAAATGTGGAATGCTGTGTTGCAATCTGGACAACTATGGAGTGAAAGCTGCATGAAGTACATTAAGGCAGAAAGTGCCAAAGCTAACACCCATCTGGTTATACGGTTTGACTGACACAACCACAAATTCATTGTCAAAGAGACAATCGACCACAACGAGGGCCTGCCAAGACAAGAGTATATGGTTATACTACCTTCTCGTTGGTGCGATTGTGGCAAGTTTCAAGCCTTTCGTATGCCTTGCTCTCATGTCATTTATGCGTGTGCCTATACTCATCAAGACGCGCTACAACTTCTGTCTCCCATTTACAAATCAGAAACCTTGCTCAACGTATACAACAACAACTTCCCTTTGGTAGCAAAACCAGATTATTGGCCTGCAACAACAGCGAAATAGTATGGAACAATGACCAAATGCGAAGGAATAAAAAAGGGTCGTCCCAAAAGTAAGCGCATCACAACTAAAATGGACTCACTTGACAAGCTGGAAAGAAAGTGTGGTTTATGTCGTCAGGTCGGACACAATCGCAAAAATTGTCCGAATCGGGCTACTGGCTCAACCACATAAAAATTGTATTACAAAACATCTTTACTTTTTTAAGTTGTAAACATTAGGGTTTTTCATTAACAACATTTGTTACAATAAACCTTGCGCAAACAAGAAATAAAACACGATAAACCGTCTACGAAATTACAACCGTTAAAACAATTTCATCTAACCCATGCATCATCAACATTACGTCGCTGTCTGTTTTGACTTCCTTCAACCAAAAATTAGGTCTTCTTGTCGCAAGTGAGGTTGCTGTTTGTCTTCGCTGGATCCTTCTAATTTGTTCCCCCTCCTCGATGTCTCCCTCTAGCCATCGCATTAACTCTCTCTTCAGACGCTCCATGGAGTGAATGTGCCAGAATTTCATTTTCATCAGAGGTTTTGTGGCGGAGAAAATAACGTAACCATCTCTGGTAAAAATCATGGGCGATGTCATGACGCAAATAACAGAGAAAAAAAATAAAAGAACAGTGCGAGAAAGTGTGAGAAATGACGGAGAAACAGACGAATTATTTATAAAAATTGCATTTTGCCCTAGGAGCCAAGTGAGATGGTGCCTCCCCTCACTTTTAAAGCGCATGCGCCATCTCACTTGGCTAAAAGAGAGAGGAGGCGCCAAGTGGGATGACGCCTAGGACAAAATGCGGAGTGAATGCGCCAACTGGATTGGCTCCTCCCTTGTGGGATTTTCTGAAACATGATTATTTGCGTAATTTTCTCCGAAACATGGTTATTTGCGATTTTCTTTTAATACCTCCTTATTCAAAAAAAAAAATCTCTATTAGATTATTAGTACAAGAATTATAAACTTGATTTTATATGTAAATTAAAACTTAAAAAATAAATATCCTTTTAATGGTCTTGATACATAAACAAAATTTTCCTAAATATTTTTTAATTAATATTAATAATGTAAATAACATTAAAATAAATAAATTTGAATATATAGTGGTAAGAACATAGAAGAAGTAGAAAATTTATTTTAAAAATATAAATAATTATTTAAATTGATTTCATAGAAAGTACATCACTCTGTTGAATTATTTTTTCATAAAATAAAATTTTAATATAATTTGTTATACCTTCCTAATAAATTATTATATGAAAAAAACATTTGGACACAATTTTATTAATTCTTCTTTTAATTTGATTTTTTATTAAATAAAAGAAAATTGTTGAATAAATATATTACTAAAATACATTTACCATATTTTCCAAACTTCTCATATTTCCCAATCTTATCTTACAAATGCTTAATTAATTTGAATTACTTCCAACTAATACTACTATTATTTTTAATTTTTGTAATAACCAACTAATATTATTAATAATTATTAAATTTATAGTTACTTCCTCAAAAAATTGCAAGTCCAAGATAACAAGATAAACCTCTAAAATTTGCAAACAAAAACAAAACCACAATTTCCAGTTACTTCCATCTATCCACAACAATGTCTTCTCTTTCTCTTCTCTCCCAACCCAATTTCCTTTCGCTCACAACACAACCACCAAACTTCGATAACTTGAAACCCAAGACAACACTGTTCTTGCAACGCCGGTTTAGGAGATGTGTAACGGTTTCTGAACAAGCAACCGCGACGGCTCCGGCGGTTAGAAAGCTTTACGTTGGTAACATTCCTCGGACTGTTGGGAATGATGAGCTTGCTCAGATTGTTCAAGAACATGGCGCTGTTGAGAAAGCTGAGGTAGTTTTCGTTTGACTTTTGTGAAATTAGGTTTGTTGAAAGGGGTTTTGTGTTTGGGGGAATTTTGTGAAATGGGGTTTGTTTGAGGGGTGTTTAGGTAATTACAAGTGTTGAAACTAGTTTTGAATTTGTTGTTAGTTTGAAATGTTAATATGCATAGGAAAATTTTCTGTATGCTTTTATTCATAGGTTATGTATGACAAATACTCTAAAAGAAGCCGTCGTTTTGCGTTTGTTACAATGAAAACCGTTGAGGATGCAAATGCAGCAGTTGAGAAACTCAATGGCACTGTAAGTTTCACTGCAGAATTTACAAAATACTTTAAAAGATTACTAATGTTCATTCGATGATTTAGGTTTCTTAAAGGACTTATGAACTTCGTGTTTTTATGACAGCAAATTGGAGGACGTGAGATTAAAGTGAATATAACCGAAAAACCTTTAACAACAACAGGAGGGTTGTCACTTCAGGCCGAGGAATCCCAATTTGTTGACAGTCCCTACAAGGTATATGTTGGAAATCTGGCTAAAAGTGTAACGTCTGATATCCTTAAAAATTTCTTCTCTGAAAAAGGAAAAGCTCTTAGTGCCAAGATTTCACGGGTTCCTGGAACCTCAAAATCCAGTGGTTTTGGTTTTGTTACATTTTCATCGGATGAGGATGTAGAGGCTGCCATCTCTTCTTTCAACAACGCTGTAAGTTGTTAACTAAACTGCCTTTCTTGTTTATTTGCAAACTAAGACATCCTTAAATTCTTCATGTTTTTGGAACCAATAGGTAGTGGAGAGCTACTTCTCCAAACCTTGCTTGTAGATAATGAGACTCTGTGGAAACTAAGAACTTCACCTTTTTATCTCATTACATATTTAAGTTTATCAGTGGAGACTCTGATAAAATTGGCAACGGAAAACACATAATTAGGAAAAAAATAACTTTTTACTGCATGAATCAGCAATTCCTCCTGCCCTGGAGTCTAGTACTGCCTCAGGCTGTACCATCCAAGAGCATGCTGTTAGACACGTGAAAAACATGATGTACATTGCTGTTACCTTGTAAATCTAATTTGTAAGCCACCTTCCAAAATTTATGAAAAATTCGATATGGTCCATAAAAACCTGGATTCCACTTCTCATTGATCTTCTTAGCAACTGACCTATACGGCACAGTTGTAATTTCAGAAGTGACTTCCCTGCACTTTTTTTGGGCACATTTCCTCAATTGATCTTGAGTTCTTAACAAATTAACTCTTAAATCACCTAGTGAAGTGTCCCTCTGTTGAGTTAGCCTGTCCAGTTCCTTAAATTTCAGAAGTGACTTCCCTGCTCTCTTTTTTGGATATACTGTAACTCCCTTAACTAACAAAGGTGTGTCTTGTCCACCATACAAAGCCTTAAAAGGAGGCATCTTGTTGAAATGTTGAGATTAGTATTAAACCAAAATTCTGCCCATGGAAGGCAGGAAAGCCATTGCTTTGTGTTAAAACCTGTCCAAAGCGTAGGATTCCAATCAACTATGGACTACTTCTGTTTGTGGATGGTATGCAGTGGTGAACGGTAGTTGCGTGCCAGCCATCTTAAATAGTTCTTTCCAAAACTGGCTTCAGAAAATCGAATCTCTATCCAAAACTATAGAAGAAATCATGCAATCATACCACCAGTCTTGAATGAAGATTTCAGCAACTTCCTTAACGGTAAAAGGATGTGTCCCAATAGGCTGAAGTGTACGAATTTAGTTAATCTATCAATTACCATCAAGATAGTATCTTTACATTGAGATGTAGATAGACCCTCACTCAAGAAAGTCTATCTTTATTGATAGATTCTAATGCTTACTTTGATTGCAATCTTGATATCTTGCGATATAAGTTTCCAATCTCCAAATTATTTAACATTACTTAAAAATCCTATCACGGTCTGATGATGTGTTGTTCAATGGGATTGATTTTTATTGATTGAAAATAATTTCATGATTTAATGAATGATTGATTAGTTTGCTTCTAAATACAATGCTGACTAATTTGTTTGATGACTTGTTAACTGCAGTTGTTAGAAGGTCAAAAGATCCGGGTGAATAAGGCGTAGAGAATTAGCAATGTAGCATAGCATGTTTGATATTGTGTCCTATACTTTGGTGAAGTAAAAAACAAGCAAATTGCTTTCTATTTTACAGCACAAACCTAATCATTTTCAACTGATAGAGTTCCCAGGAGAATCATGAGAGTAACATAGTGCTTAGTGCACCTCAGGACCCCCTGTAGTCCAGAATGATTTTGAGATCTCACTACTTTCTCCGTGATTATGTTGCATCTTTCTCACCTTCATTGTGTTTCGTGTTGTTAAAGTATGTGTGTGTTCGATTCCGTGTCTTTTGTATTAATTTTATACTTTCACTAATGCAAATGTTGGAGTTTTTGCTGTAGTTTTTCATTGCGTTGAGTATGATTCATCTTTCAATTTAACCAAGTATTGCCCATATTTATAAAAGGATAATAACTTGTCAATATGGGAAACACATTTTTTAAATATTGTTGATAAGGGAAGATGGAAAGAAATTTCTTGACTTTATCTACCTTTCTTAGCTAGATGATATTGTCAATTAGCTCAATATATTAATTAGTTGAACATTATGATTTGATCACAATTGTGCCATTGAGAAAGGGAGAAAAGAGAGCTAGATGATTTTTAAGAGCGTATATTTTTCAAGGTTTGAAATTACATTCCTGAGGGTTTGAAATCACATTCCAGAAAAAAATATGGCACTGGAATGCAACACTCATGCGGTTTTTAATAAGAGTCCATTTTAGGGATGGCAAAAAAAAAAAGAGTATTTGCGGTTAAAATCCGTTATGGTTACGGGTCTGATGATTGATTGAGTATTTACGAGTAATATTGTTTATTCCAACATCCTTCATACTGAACAAATGCCGGTATGTCATGGTTTGTGTATGGTCTGAAAACTTGAAGATGGTGATTATTTGGATGAGCAATACTTTCTTATTGATGACAAATATAGACAGTTGGAGGATAGCTCAAGGCTATGGAGGTCTAAAAGATATCGGGATTGGATTTCGGCGAATTAGGTTTGGTTCTAGGGCTGGTCATCCCACCTAAGTCAAGGTCCTTGTTTTCGTCAAATATGACGGGGTCTCTTGTCTTAAACTGCACCTGAGATCGTATGTTAGAAAGATTCAGCCTCACACCGCTGACCAGGAGTTATGGGTCCATTTCTTCCAAGAAAGTTTGGCTGGCACACAACTGGAATGATTCTATTAGCTGGAGGGGACCAATATTTGTACCTGTGAAGATTTGGCCGTTGCTTTCTATAAGCGGTATCAATACAACGTTAACCTAATACCAACCTGAGTACAGTTACAGAATATGTCCATGGACTCAAAAGAAGGGTTCAAGGAATATGCACAGAAGTTGAGGGATTTAACTAGCAGGGTGCAACCTCCTCTGAATGATCGGGAAATGGTAGATATGTTTATGGGCACTCTGACAGGCCCATTCTTCAATTTGCTGATTGGGAGTTCCTCATCGGGTTTTACAGAGATGATTCTGACTGGAGAAAGGATCGAAAGCGGTATAAAAAGTGGAAAGATTCCGACGTCTGCATCTTCTAGTGTTGTGAAGAAGTCGTTCAAAGGTAAGAAGGAAGTTGGTGCTGTCTATGGCCAGAAAAGTCGTAGCAGAGTTAATCGCCATGAGTCTGTAGGAGCGGTTTTGATTTCCAATCTGCCACCCTCCCAACAACAACAACAACAGGGTAACCGTCAAAGGTCAGACGCTCCGAGAAGGCAGTTCACTAAGATCAATATGCCTTTGTCTCAGGCACTTCAACACCTTTTGAAGGAAAAATTATTAACATTGAAGGGTCCTCCTCAGAATCCTAACACTACCTCTCCTCGGTACAATCCTAATGTGAGATACGCCTATCATGCCAATAGTCCCGAACATGACACAAATAGTTGTTGGACTTTGAAGATTAAAATTCAAGATCTAATTGACAACAAGGAGATTGAGTTTGATCCTCCAGAGACCCCAAATGTAATTATAGCACCTATGTCCAAACATGATAAAGGCGTAAGTGCTGTTGAAGATATTTTGTATGTTACTTCTATGAACGATGGGGTTACTCCGCTCTCACAATAAAGAAGAATTTGCTACAAGTTGGTTTATTTCTAGGTTGTGTTAAGGGTTGTTATTACTGTGCAGTCAAACCCAACGGTTGTGGGTCACTAAAGAAGGGTGTTCAAAGTTTGATAAATGAACACATTATTCTGATTGAAAAAGTTCCGCCTACCAACAATTTCTGCCAAGATCTGTCTGTTATCTCCGATACTCCTTTTAGGATCCCTTCTAAAGGTCCTATAAGGATTACCGCCAATCCGAAATCTGCTATACTGGTCATTACAACGCCCGGGCCTATCCTGTATTCCTCAGATAAAGCAATTTCTTGGCACTACGGATCTGACGTCTATTACCATGGCGCCAAACAGGAGTTGTCCGATGAAGAAAAAGAAGAAGTTGATTCTAATATTGTCAATATTGCAGGGACCAGTAATATTACAAGAAGTGGAAGGATTTTCTCTCCGGAAATCTCTCCACCTGCTCAGATTACAGTTTCCAAAACAACTACCGGGGCTCGAGGTAAGGAGCCGGTGATGGAGTCTTCTCGGACGGAGGCACCAAAAGAAGCTCATGTCAAAGATACTTCAGGAGAAGATTTATAAGAGGTTGTGAAGATTATTCGCCGAAGTGATTATAAAATCGTCGAACTGTTGGGATAGACCCCATCCAAAATATCTATGTTGTCATTACTGTTGTGTTCTGAGGCCCATGCGAAGGCTTTAGTGAAATTCCTAAAGACTGCTCATGTGCCGCAGAAAATTTCGGAAGATCAATTTGAAAGCTATGTGACCAGTCTGACAACTAACAATGGTTTGGGTTTCTCCGATGCCGACTTGACTCTAGAGGGGAGGAATCACAATAGGGCCTTGTACGTCTCCATAGAGTGCAAGGGAACTATATTGGCCCATGTATTGATTGACACGAGATCATCTCTGAATGTTCTTCCGAAAGGCGCTCTCGAACGGTTACATTGTGAAGGGTTGGTGCTAAAGCCCAACAATATCATAGTTCGAGCTTTCGACGGATCGAAGCGAATGGTACATTGAGAGATAGATCTCCCGGTCAAGGTGGGTTCACAGATTTTTGAGTCCACTTTCTATGTCATGGATATCCGACCTGCTTACTCTTGTTTATTGGGACACCCTTAGATCCATGGGGAAAGTGCTGTCACTTCCATCCTGCACCAGAAGCTGAAATACCGGGTGAAATGGAAAGTTGTTACTGTTTGTGGAGAGGAGGAATATATGGTCAACCACCCCAACTCATTCTGATACGTGGAAATGGTCGAAGAATGCATTGAAACACCCTGTCAAACCTTTGAAGTGCTCTCCCCTGCTGCTGTTGAAGATGTTTCAGCCATCCCGAAATCACCAAAGCTCCGCACAAGATGGCCTCCTTGAAAGATGCTAAAGCCATTATTGAAGAAGGTGATAGTATAATTTGGGGTCAGCTTCCTGATATCCCCTATAAATCTAAGAAGTTTTTCCTGAGCTTTACTGCAGAAGGTCAGAGGGTTGTTCGACGCCCTCGTGCTGGAAGAACGCCATTCTGCATCAGCAACAATGGGATCAATGCTATAGAAGATACAAATAGTGATGGTGACTTTAACAACTAGATTTCCCTACTATTGGTGATGGACTGGATAACTGGAAGGCAGAATACGTGTTCCCTATCTCTTTCAGTCAGGAGTAATGGCTATATTCCTGTTTTTATTACTTTGAAAGTTTTGGTTATGTAAAATTTGAACAATGACTTTAAAACCTTGTGCCTTACCCAAGGCACAATGGTTCATTTGTTAAGGGTTGATTAATTCATAAACATTTTCTCATTCAATAAGAACATTTGACGTTTTGCATACAAATTTTGTGATCCTTGTCTTTCCTTTTTATCTTATTGCATTTTTCAAAATAGCAATGTGTTCTCACACACACCCACACACTACATTGCAGATCCTCATCCACTCTGGATCTCGTCGATAACAATTCTGCTATTACCTCATATGACTTTGAAAATCCGATCTACCAAGCCAAAGACAAAGGTGAGGAAGATTGTGAAATACCTGGAGAACTTGCCAGAATTTTGATACAAGAAGCGAAAACTATTCAACCACATGAAGAGCCAGTTGAGGTGGTGAACCTGGGCACTGAGGCAAATAAGAAAGAGGTCAAGATAGGCGCTGAATTAAACAAAAATGTCAAGAGCAGGTTAATCCAGATGCTACATGAATATGTTGAAATCTTCGCCTGGACGTACGAAGATATGCCAGGGCTCGACACCGATATTGTAGTTCATTGTCTGCCAATGAAAGAGGGTTGTGCTCCAATAAAACAGAAGGTTCATTGCATGCGTCCTGAAATGTCAGAAAAGATCAAGGCTGAGGTTAGGAAACAGTTCAATGTAGGGTTCTTAACAGTAACGTCGTATCCTCAATGGGTGGCTAATGTTGTTCAGGTACCAAAGAAAGACGACAAAGTGCGTGTGTGCGTAGACTACATGGATCTAAACAAGGCAAGCCCCAAAGATGACTTCCCACTACCGCATATCGATGTTTTGGTTGACAACACCGGTCAACATAAGGTATTCTCCTTCGTCACATAGTGGGGCACTTTATGTTATAAGGTTATGACTTTTGGTTTGAAGAATACTGGGGAACCTATCAGCGTGCCATGGTAGCCTTATTTCATGATATGATTCACCACGAGATAGAGGTATATGTTGACGATATGATAGCCAGGTCGCAAACTGAAGAAGAGCATCTTGATCATCTACACAAACTATTTGAAAGACTGAGGAAGTACAAGCTAAGGCTAAGCTCGAACAAGTGCACCTTTGGGGTGAGATCCGGTAAACTCTTGGGCTTTGTCGTTAGTGGTAAGGGTATTGAGGTTGATCATGCGAAAGTTAAAGCCATTCAAGAGATGCCAGCTCCTCGTATCGAGAAGGAAGTCAGA